AACTGTTCTCACTTTTTAATTTCATTTATATTAGTGGCTTTTGATTTTAATTTCTACTTTGTTAAACCTGTAGATTAAAAAAAAGTATTGATTCACATGCCACTGAAATGTTAAACTAATTAAACAATGTACAAGAATACTTACACAATCTACAAAATATAAAAATTGGTATAACTTCTGATTAAATTTACAAAATACTTCATTATACTAACTTCAGATGTTGCTAAGATTGTTTCAAAATTCAGATTTTGAGTCCATGAAGCTATTCAGATAACTGAAATGATTAAATGTTCAGTAAAGTTTTATACAGATAGGACTGCTTGAGTAGAATTAGTGTGCAGATTTTCATAGCAGAAATCATATTGGGAAGAATTTGTAAAGAAAAGCCAATGACATGTATATACTGAAGGATTTTTGGATTTTTTTTTAAATGGAGTATTAAAAAGGGGAGGGACAAGAAATCTGCTAAGCATCTAAAGAACTATCTATGAATACATTGGGTATCTCAGGTTTACTTTGGTGGTAGTTCTTCCATGTTTCAGTTCTTCCATGTTTCAGTGGATTCTTTACCTTGAGGAGATTATAATAGCAACCTTCTGTATGCAAATCAGAAGGCTGATTAAGTATTCCTCTTTAATTTGGAAACCCAGGATGAGCATACTGAACAGGGCAGCAGTGGAATGTGGGGATGGAAAAAAAATAATATTCTTGGCCATGATCTGGAACATCCTTTTTTTAAAAAAAAACAAATTGATTCACCCTTTTTAAAAAAATATTTTGTTTTATTTGTATTTATAATATACAGATGCTCTCAGAACTGCATGTGTCATCCTGATATTGTGCTTGCTTAACCACATTTTGTGCTTAATTGCATATTTAATTTTTAAAAATTTAAAAACATCAGATTAGGCTCTAAATACACTGTATGTTCATTTTCCCTCTCTAATCAACACAGCCCTAAATAAAAATCTATAAAAAGTTAAATGATGAACTACCTCACAGTATTAGTATTCTTCCCATCTGCCTAGTCTAGCAGTATTAAATTACATTGCAGTATAGGCATGACTAAAATCTAATTCTACTTTTTGCAGTACATGTATAACAGTTGGGCTTTCACTGTAATAAACACATTTTATATATTTTTATTTTTACATAATGTTTTAAAATTTACATATTTTTATTTATATTTTATATATTTAGTAATATATAAAGAGTTCCATTCACATTCCATACTGTACAGGTTTGGGCGGTTCTTGTACACATGTTGGGGTTTTGGTCCATTTACAAAAACAAGATAATTCTGTATTCCAAATTATTTGTGAAGGAATAGTGGAAAACACAGGATGCTGGCAGCTAGGATGCTCTGCAGGACTTGTGGAAGTGGCAAGTTGAGGGGATATAATATGCTAATGATGCCCATATCTGAAGAGAAAGAAAAATACTGGGAAAGTTGGTGGGCTCCAGGATATATTGCATGGGGGGTTAGGAAGCTACTGGGAGCATAGGGAAACTAATGGAATCTGCTGCTCTGAGAGCTAGAAAAGAAAAGAGCAGTTGTGCTGGAAAAACCGTACCTTAACTTGTCTTGTCTGGATTGCATTTTGTATGAATCCCAGAATAATCCAAACATCCACGTTTGAGTTATCTCACACTGTAGTTGACCCAAAATGAATTGTTAGTACTTTAGGAACACTGTAAATACGGATTTGAATATATTCATTTTGTATGCACCTCTTATTAATAGGCACTATTTTTACATTCAAAAGTCAATTTTTTAAAACCACTTTTACAGATAAAAAGGTATAAAAATTACTGTTCAACCATAGATCTACCAAAAATCTGGATTTATGATATTTTTAATGTCTAACTTTAGACTGACATATAACCTCTCTGCAGTATATATGTAAATCATAATTTGGTTTTTTTATATATTACTTTAGCACTAAGAAGCAGGAGTCTTTAGAAAACTTGTGGGGCTGCATGTATTGTAGTTTCTAGAAAGGTTAGAGACTAGCTGTGGTGGGTTTTTTTGTTTTTGTTTTTTGAAATAATTTTTTATTGTTTTTTATATACAACAAATTCCATTTCAATCGTGCATCGACTTGGGTACATATTTCAATTACTTAAACATAAATGATATCCTTATCAAATCTAACAATACATCAATGTTCCCATACATATTCCCATATACATAATAATATCACACATAACTTTGCTTAATTTTTTCTAATTGTTCTATAAATACATCAAATCTTTTTTAGGTTGTTTTATTTTCTATCCGTATTATATGTGGTGGACTTGCACAGAGGCTAAAAGGTACCGGACTAAAATACACATATGGTTGGAAAAAATGATTAAACAACATATAGATTTGAAACCTGAAATATTCCTATTAGGAATGGAACCAGAAGGTTATAGTAAATAAAAGATTTACTTAATTATACATGTCTTAACAGGAGCTAGGATTGTATTTGCCCAAAATTGGAAGAGTGATAAAATACTGATAGAGGGAAAAATAATTGAATAATTTAAAATATATTTGAATGTGCAGAAATGAATAGATTGACACTAGAAATTAAAGAGAAAAAAATGAATATTACATGGTATGGAATATCTTTTATCATTAGCTGTGTTTTAAAAGGAAGGTTAATGAATATTGTGGTTGATAGGAGGAAAGTCCTTGCGAACATCTATGAACATGATAACAGGCACTGTGTTATACTCTGAAACATCACTTTTTCCTCTGAATTTAGTATGCTACCAACAACCCAAACATCAACTTTTTAAATTTTTGATGGGATGTAATCCCACATAATTTTTTTACAATTTATTCTAGAAAATGATAAACACTGTTAAAACTTCTACCATTCCCATTTTATGTGTTTTTCCTTTATTATTTTTATAAGTAAGGCGATGAGCATACTTATTACTTGTTCCTGCTCCAGTTTTCTCATAACAATCCTGTGAGGTGGCCTGGGAGAAAATGATTGGCCCTCAGTCACCCATGTAGCTTTCATACCTCATGCAGGACTAAAATTCATGCTCCTGATTTCTAGCCAGATGCCTTAGCCACTAGACTAAACTGGCTCTAATACATCATTATGGATTTACTGTATGTATTTAACATGCAACAAAGTAATAAGCTGTTATTGAACTTTTATACTGTGATAAAATTGCTTCTTTAGATCTGATGAAATTGTTAAACAGAATTTAAACTCATTATGGGCTTCATCCCACTCTGGGTTCCCCAGGCCTGCTGGCAAAACCAGGTCTTCAGTGCCTTTCAAAAGAGTGCTAGAGTGGGGGCCATTCTAATCCCTGGGGAAATGATATTCCAGAGAGAGGGAGCCACCATGGAGAATGCCATTCTGGGTCCCATCAGGTGTATCTCCCTCAGGGATGGGACCCACAACATTCCCTGTCTCCTTGTTCTAATTGATTGGGTAGATGTGACCAGCAAAAGATGTTCACTCAGATAACCCAGTCCCAAGCCATGAAGGGCTTTAAAGGTGACAATCAGCACCTTGAATTGCACCCGGAAGCAAATCAGCAACCAATACAGCTCCTGCAGGAGAGGTGACACGTGCACACGGGGGTCTGTACAAAACCATGTGGGCCGCTGCATTTTGCACCAACTGGACTTTCTGGATGCTGTTCAAGGGCAGCCCCATGTAGAACGCATGACAATCAAAATGGGAAGTGACCAGGGCATGAGTGACTGGGGGTAGGCAGTATTGGTCCAGGAAAGGGCATAACTGGTGCACAACCCACAGTTGCGCGAAGGCCCTCCTGGCCACGACCACCACCTCTTCATGCAGGAGTCGTGAATCCAGGAAAACCCCTAGATTATGTACAGGGTCTGTTTGGGGTAGTGCCACCCCATCCAAGACCAAAAGTGGCAATTCTCTCTGAGCCAACGAACCCCAAACCCAGAGCCACTCTGTCTTGCAAGGGTTTAGTTTCAACCCATTGGTCCCCATCCAGCCCCTAACAGCCTCCAGAGAGAGGGAGGACACAGCAACACTTAACTCACCATGGGCCAAGACATACAGCTGAGTATCATCAGCATATTGGTGATACTTTAGTCCATGGAGACAGATGATCTCACCCAGCGGCTTCATATAAATGTTGAACAGGAGCGGAGGGAGTACAGAGTCCTGCAGAATCCTATAAAGCAATGGGTGAGGGCTGGATCTCTCCCCTCCTATCAACACTGAGAGCGGCTACAGAGGAAGGAAATGAACCAGGACATCACAAGGCCTCCCACTCTTATCCCCTGAAGTCACCCCAGGAGAATCCCATGGTCAATGGTATCAAAAGCAGCCGAGAGGTCAAGTAGAGCAAGGATGAATGCACTACCCCCATCCTGCTCCCGACAGAAATCCAAAAGTACAACCAATGCTGTTTCTGTCCCAAAGTCCAAAGTCCAGAAGTTTAGACACTAGTCTATATGGAAGAATTGTGTTAAATGCTGAACTAAAATCCACAAAAAGCATCCTCATGTAGCGCCACCGCCTTCTAGATGAGTCAGAGCAGGGTGAAGAGTGATGGCTATAGCGTCCTCTGTAGATCTATTTTTTCTGTATGCAAACTGGCATTTATCAAATGTTTGTGGAAGACCAGAAATAATGTGTCAGCAGACCAATTTCTTAAAGCACTTGATGATGATAGGTGTATCACTGGTCTGCAATTGTTGAGGTTATTGATAGGGAACTTTTTGGGCAGTGGAACAATGGTGGAAGCCTTCAAACAAGATAGAATAGTGGACTGGGATAAAGACCAATTGAAGATGGTCTATTGTGAACACCTGCACTCACTGTTAAACAATAGTTTATTTTATTGGATTCGGTAGCATTGTATCATTCAAGAAAAACCCTTGGTGAGATCATATATTCACTCATGTATTGTATTTATAGCACTTATTACAAGTGCATTACTGAGATTGATTAACTTCAGTCTCGACCAGTCGTTTTCCATTCGCAGTTATCCCGATAGATTTGAATTATTCTAAACCCAGAGTCTACCTCAGCAAAAAACAAAATAATGATTAAGGCTGAGGATGTGACTCAGTAATCACCACAGCAAAAATTAGGCTCCCATCTTAAAGATCCTTCAGTGTCGCCTCGTAAATGGCGGCTTCTTATCTAAACCGGAAGCCAGGCTGGCTGGAAAGCGTCAGTCGGAATGACTTGCTGTTTTTCTTCGTGAGATAAAGAGGAAGTAAACGAAGCTGCAGTCAGGGGTTCCTGTCATAGAGATCCTATCCTGCCTTACTCGTGAGTATCGGTCACCCTTGAAATGTGCATGGCGCTATGCGAATGCGGGTTTTAAAGCCCAAACGACGGAAGTTTTACTGTAATTGGGTAAAAGAACGAGAAGTTATCTGTGGGATGTTGCTTTTCTGCTGATATTAGAAATCCAGACTTCCGATCAGGGAAGCCTTGGTCAGAGCACAATGAGAAACAGCCAATCATCTTGCAATAACTTGTGTTATAGTTTTAAGCAATTTACAGCATCACGAAATCAGGAATGGATGTTTTGAAGTAGCGCTCTGAATTCACCGAAGCTGAGAAGGGCGCCTGCTATTTCATCACATAACCGGTGGCGTGCAAAATGTAATCCAAAGAGCTTTTAAAATCCTGTGGAGTCTTTGGTGGAGTGATGGGACGCTGAATTTTAGGAAGAAACATTCTCGGCTCTAGAAAACACCGAACTGTCATAACATTGAAACGTTCCAATAAAGAAAAATATTTATAGCTCAGAGTTGACACGAGGGGTCCTTGGTGCGCTCTGAACTTGGTTGTTTTCTTGCAGATATTTCATTACCCAAACTAGGTAACATCATCAGTGCTAATAATGTTACCTAATTTGGGTAATGAATGTCTGCAGGAGAACAACAAAACTCAGAGAGCACTAAGGACCCATATACATTGCTGTTTTATGTCTCCATTTCCCACTCCATTAGGCTTTGGCATTTGAGACTTTAACTTTGCCAAATGATCTGGTCAATATGGGTCCTCACAGTTTATATATAAGATCCATCTAAACTTCCTGTCAGATCACAGATTATGCCCATCTGTCCATACTGAATTACCACAAAACAAAGTCAGGTCTGTTTTTTGTTGTTGCCATGGGTAAAAAAACTATGGCTCTGAAGCACAGATCTCTCGATTGTTCTGTGGGATATGGTATACATCAAATTACAGATTACATATTTCTCTCCCTTCTTAGAATGTAATTATCAGAATTGTTGACTGGTGCTGCCATGGCAAAACCCCCTAATTATTATCCAATTTACTTGAAATCACTCAAAATATAGGGGACAGCGCTTTTATATTCATAAACTATAATTTAGTTTATATAAAATATTCTGCACACGGAATGATTGTTTGTGATTCCTGGGATATTAGCTGCATTTTCCTAGATGAATATTTAAATCTATCTGCATTGTGGTCCTATTACCAATCCAGGAGGTGGCACTATGTTATGTACTTAAAGCATTTAACAAGCATGGGATATGGCCAATACAGTATATTACTCAAAATAGTAAAGAAATTATCATATAGAAAGACATGAAGAATTCCTCTCTTCTTTCACTTGTGTTGGGATGTTATTAAAAAAGTAGTCATCTTGGTGCAACACAATTGCAGCATAGAAAATGTAATGTGTAGAGCAGAATGCTTAAAGATTTACAAATGATCCCAAACAAATAGAGTTTGAACTCTCATGGAAGTTTTGGCATATAGAGATCTATAGAACAAAGGCTTCCTTGAATAGATTCTCATACTACCATTCACTGGCAACCTGGCAACATGATTTACTAAATGAGGTACTGTTCAGTACTACAGGAATGCCATCTATAGCTTAGCACCAATATGGATTCAAAGTTTTAAACAAAGATTATAAAAAAGGATGAAAATACTGCAAATCACATGAAAACTAATCTTTGGTATATGTATTGTAGAAGCAGTCCAGATACTAAGCCTGACTAGTACTTGGAAAAAAGATCAAGGAATCTCAAGGCTATAAGTTAGACTAGTAAGTAAAAATGCTTACTTTCAGGTATGGAGTTACATAGACATTAGTAGCATGACTGGAGGGATTCTTTATGTTGAGTAACTATATTTTTTAAATTCTTCTTAGGAATGTTACCAAGATGTCTGCACATTCATTGCTGTGTGAGAGAATTATCTTGGCTAAGGAACTAATTAAAAGAGCAGAAGCTATTTGCAGATCCCAAAAAGATGGCATAGAAGGTGGACCAAAACTTTGCCGTAAATTAAAGGCAGAACTAAAATTCTTGCAGAAAATAGAAGCTGGTAGAATATGCATCAAAGAGTCTCATCTGCAGAGTACAAATCTCACTCATCTGCAAGCTGTCATTGAATCAGCAGAGAACTTGGAGGATATTGTTGGTGTTCTCCATGTTTTTACTTATAAGGATTCATTTGGTGAAAAACAAAATTTGGTAGTAGACGTAGTTGCAAATAATGGGCATACTTGGGTGAAAGCAGTTGGTCGGAAAGCTGAAGCTCTGCATAACATTTGGTTGGGCAGGGGCCAGTATGGTGACAAGAGCATTATTGAACAAGCAGAGGATTTCCTACAAGCAAGTTGTCAAAAACCAATACAATATTGCAGCCCACACATTATTTTTGCTTTCTACAATGGTTTGTCCAGCCCAATGGCAGAAAGGCTAAAAGAAATGAATATATCTGTGCGGGGGGATATTGTTGCTGTGAACCTATCAATGAACTGTCTTAAAGAAGATCACTCCTTCAGTTCTAGTGAATCTGACAATGGGGACGAATGCTTTCAAATGACTAAAGTAGATCGGGATACCTTAATAGCCAGTGTTGCATTTCCTACAATGTTGAAAGTAAATACATGCAATAGGGTTAATTTAGACATTACTACTTTGATTACATATGTCTCAGCCCTAAACTATGGAGGCTGTTACTTTATATTCAAAGAGAAAGTCTTAACTGAACAGGCCTTACAAGAGCGATGTGAGAGTGTTCTCCCACAACTGGAGGAATTCATGAAGGAGAAAGAATTGTTTGCTTGTGAATCTGCAATCAAAGATTTTCAGATTATCTTAGAAACTATAGGAGGTCCTGGAGAAAAATATAGAGCCACATTACTTATGGATAGAATCCATGTGGTCCCAGACCAACCCTCTGATTATGCCTCAAAATTAGTGACTAGCTCTAAAATCAATAACCGTTCTTTGATCATCTTTGGAACAGGAGATACTTTAAAGGCCATCACTATGACAGCAAATAGTGGCTTTGTTCGGGCAGCAGCAAATCAGGGAGTAAAGTTTAGTGTGTTTATTCATCAACCAAGGGCATTGACAGAAAGCAAAGAAGCTTCTGCCACACCTTTACTAAAGCACTAAGTTGGTTCCAAATTATGCAGAGGTTGTATTCAGCAGATTCTGATCAGTTCTGGAGAACTGGTAGCAGAAATTTTGAGTAGTTTGGAGAACCAGCAAATACTACGTCTGACTGGAAATTTTACAATATCCTTCCCCTGCCATGTCCACTATTATGTATACTATTTCTAGCTTAAGGAATTTTAGAAACAATAGTTTAATGCATAAAAATATTGATGTTATGTGGACACAATTTATTCATTTGACTGAATTGAACTGAAAGAAACTTAGGGCAGACATACTATGTTGTGCTTCACCTACTCATGTATAACTTCATGTAAATGTTATATAACTTTTCCTGTGTGTTGCCAGAATGCTTTCTTAGAGCAATTCTGCATTGTCTTGAGGCTGACATAGATATGCACAATGTAATAATCTTGGTGCAAAGGATTGTGTTGATAATTATCAACTTATGACCACAATGGAGCCCAAAATTTCTGTTGGTAAGCAAGACAGTGGTTAAGTGAATTTTGCACTATTTTATTATCTTTCTTGCCACAGTTGGTAACGGAATCACTGCTAGCAACACAGTTATTAAATACATCTAACTTCCCCATTGCATTTGCTTGTTGGAGGTCACAGAAAGTAATCACTTGACCCCAGGACATTGCAGTTATCATAAATACATGCTAGTTGCTGACCATGTGTTTTTTGATCATATGACCCTGGGGATGCTGCAACAATTGAAAGTCCAAAAATGGTCATGTCACTTTGTTCAGTGCCATTGTAACTTTGATCATTAAATATTTATGTATTTGTTTGTCAAACATGTACAAGATAACGAGTATAAGTATGAACATAAATAAGAACAAAGGAAGTAAATATAGATAAATGGGTAGAGTAAAACAGGGATGGTAGGCTTGCTAGAGCACTTATGCACTTAAAGGACCTCTTAAGAATGGGGTGAGGTCCACAGTAGACAGTTTGAAGTTGAAGCTTTGAGGGGTTGAAGCTGTAACAACGAAGTCTGGTAGGGCATTCCAAGCATTGACCACTCTCTTGCTGAAGTTGTATTTTCTGCAATCAAGTTTGGAGCAGTTTACCTTGAGTTTGCATCAGTAGTTTGCCCATGTATTATTGTTTGTTTGTTTTTTAAATTTATTTTTAACAACAAACATAGACAAACACAAACATAAAACAACAAATAAAGTCTTATTTCAATTATACAGTGTGTCGGTTGGTACATATGTCTTGTGCACAATAGCTATAATCTTTTCCTCTTAGGTTTAAATTTACATTCATATTACATTAATCAACTTTCCATGTCATATAATATTATTATTATATCATTAGACTTTGATTTCAAATCTGCATTGACCTTTATAGCAAATCTCAGTTCTTACTAATTTTAGTTCATATTGTAATTCATTCCAGAATAATCAGTTATAACATATCATTACTATTGTATTATAATTCAGTTTCCTACTTTTTTATGTAATCATTGATAAAATAAATCCCATATCTCTTTTTCTTCTTGGTCTCTGATTGCTAATGTTAATTACTCATTTCTGCACATTCCATTATTTTCTTAATCACCTCCTCCTCTATTGGAATTTTCTCATTTTTCCAATTTTGAGTAAATACAATTCTAGCTGCAGTTAAAACATTAATAATCAAATATATCAATTCTCTGTTGTAACTTTCAGGTAAAATTCCCAATAGAAATATCTTTGGTTTTAGATGTATATGTTGTTTTGACATTTTTTCCAGCCATGTGTGTATTTTAGTCCAGTATCTTTTAGCTTCTGTGCATGTCCACCACATATCGTAATATGATCCAGGTGCCTGATGGCATTTCCAACACTTTGCCAATTTATCCTTGAACATCCTTGCTATTCTTGCTGGGGATAAATGCCACCTGTAAAACATACAAATTTTCTTTATATGCTGTCGACATTGTTAGTTTATAGTTTCTAGTCCATAGTTTCTGCCATTTTTCTAGATCTATCCCATATCCAAAATCCCACCCACCCCCAGGCAATCATTGTTTCTTTAACTTGTTCTTCTTCTGATTTCACTCCTAGTAAATAACCATATAATTTTTTCATTATCCTCTCCTCAGTACCTGTTAAAGATTTTATTTAATTCAGTAAGTTCTTTATAAAACCTGTCTTATTTCTTTTATCATATCTAGAATGTGTTTGCACATAGGAATACCAATTCATCTTTATCTCTTGTTCATCTAATTCTTGCTTTGTTTTCAGTTCACACATTTCGTTTAAAATTTCACTATATCTTAACTATGTGTTCCATTTTAAAAACAATTGGAAACGCAGATACCTCTATAGTTGATAACCAGACTGGTATTTTCATATAATGTTTCCTTATTTTCTCCCCTTGCATTTCTTAACAACAAAGCATCTCAAATATAATGTCTCCTAAAATACCCATGTGCTTTGCTTTCCTTATACCATAAAAATGCATGCCACCCCAATTGTAAATCATGGCCTTCCAATGTTAACAATCTAGTATTTCTCAAAACAATCCATTCTTTCACCCACATCAGTGTAACTGCCTGGTAGTATAATTCCTAATTGGGTAGTCCAAAACCTTTCATTCTGGTGTCCTGTATCAATTTTAATTTAATTCTTGCCTTCTTTCCCTGCCATATATATTACAACATTATTTTGTTCAAGTCTTCAAAAAATTCTTTCCCTAATTTAATTGGAATCGTCTGAAACAAATATAATATCCTTGGCAGGGGTGGGATGCTACTGGTTCGGCCCGGTTCTATAGAACCTGTAGCTCTGAAGAGCAGCAGACACTGAACCAGTTCGGTGGTCTGGTGCTCTGTTTGGCCCAGTTGCCCGCCCGGGCTCTTGGCTGTCCTTTATTTCCTGCTTTTTCAACCTGAGCTGCTTTGTGTCTCACAGCTGAGGATGAAAAAGCAGGAAAGAAGAGTTTGAAACGCTGTGCACCTGCATGCAGCGGTTGTTGGCTGTCCGGGCAGCACAGCTGAGGTTTTTTGGAAATGGTCTATATACGTGTTCAAAAAATACTGTCACCAGGAGTGGGATTCTACCTGCCGGAGATCCGTCAAATTACGCCAATGGCTGGCTCCGCCCTGCCCACTCACTCCTTACCTGGCATGTGCACCGTCAAACTTGCCTGCTAAGTTGCTATGTTTCTTTTTTTTCTCCTGACCATTAGCTGTTCTAATTTCTTGCTTTCTCATTTCTTGCTTTCTAGCTAATCTAAAAGCAGAACAAATTTCATGAGTTTGCTTGCAGGCAAATTTTATGTGACAGACTCAGGTAGCTGATGGCAGAAATATAGATCTCTGAATGAATCTGTGATTCTGTGAGCAACTCAATCTACGTGCCTGCTTTGCCTGATTTTGGGTAAAAGTTGCTTTTTTATATAAAAAAGTCAATATTTATGTGGTGGTCTCTCATGAAAAGAAGACACTACGCAAAGTTGTCTTGGGATGAGAGCGCAGAGCAAAGTCCGAAACCCTCTTTTATTAGAAGCAATCTTTGTTAACGTAGCAATTTTGTTAACGTCCTATCACGAACGCATTACATCACACAACATGCACTGATCATTCACATAAAGCATACAAGGCTGCAAAGTTTAAGTTTGCTACAGTTCTGGTTAGAAATGGCAACAATTTGTCCTTGCTCCTTGCTCCGTGTTCCAGCCAACCACCAGAAGGCTCCATTGTCCTAGCACGTACACAAAGAACAAAGAATCATAGTTCCCACATCTCCCCTGTTTTTCCTTTTTAGGAGACTGGGAGTGTTTTAGTCCCAATAACAGTCTTTGTCAGGCGCGTAGGCAAGAGTGCTGTGCATGCTGATATTATCCATGGCATTCGTGACTTCTTCAACCATCACAAACATCTTTTCCTCGTCTGGGTCGTCACAGGTTGGCTCTCCTATCTCATCTTCAGATGGCAGTGGTTCATATGTGTTAGTTATTTGTTGATTCCAGAGAGCCATTACCTGCGCAGTGGCTTTTTTCTCAGCCAAGAGGGATAAACTGTTAGAAATAGTGCGTACAAAGATGGGTAATACACATGGCAATACAACACATCCCGCAGCAATCATACCAATGAGCGCTACAATAGCTTGCAAACCAGGCAATTTTGGGAATCAGGATCCAAACATGTCTCTAAAATCAAGACCATTCCATGTTTGTATGGGTACATGCGCAACCTTGATCATTCTATCAGTAATTGTTGGATAAATTTTTCTGCTATCATCTACCTCAATACAACTATTACTAAGGTTAAATTTTCCACACACTCCTTCTTTGGCAAGAAGATAATCTAAAGCCAAGCGATTTTGCATGTTATGAGCTTTGGGGGGAATAGGGAGAGAGTTCAATTTGCCAATTTCATCTTGATATTCCAAAGAAAACTTTGGATGGTGTTGGAGGTAGTGTGGATTTTCAATACAATATAACCATATGGGTCACGTCCGGTACCGTCGATACCAAGACCAAAAAAAATGATATTGTACCCCCTTAGATTCAGGTAAGTGAGTGTACAAACAAATGGGATTACATTTGTCAGTGGTACATGAAGTAGAGCTTGATTTAACAGTGATATTAATATTTTGAGGGCCTCTTACTTGAGCAGAGTCAATAGGTGGGGTGTACCAGTAGTTGTAAATAGTGGTGGCCCCCATGTTAATCCTGGACACCTTTTGAAAGAGATATTTCTTTTCCTGTAGATAAGATCTCTGCCAGCTGTGTGAGCCACAGGTAACTCCTGCAGCGTCGTTAGGACCTTGACCTTTGCTGATGGCAAGGCAAGCATCAAAGCATACTGAGGTGTTGGTACCCCCCCCCCCCGAGTGACATTATGGGTTATGTACCCATTTTTTGTTTGACTGGTAGAGAACATTCCTGCAAGATCAGAACTGGAGCCACCTTTGTATGCATAGACATATAGGGATGCTGTAATGGGTCCCACTGCCTTGGGCTCATAGCACTGAATGCCTTCGTCAGTGTAACATCGCGCATATTGAGTGTTCTTATGCAGACAAGGGGAGACCGTCGTGGAGTTGCACTCAGGCTTCAAGGTATGATAGATCAGGGTGGATTGGGTTTTCGTTCCGCTGCAAGTAGTTTTGATGCAGGCGTCGCAGGAGGATGGG